ATCACAATCCTATATGAGGCCTAATGTGAACATTACGTATGTGCTTATGGAACGATTACACTGTTTTAACTTCATCAGTGGAAAAGTTGATGACATTTTGAAATAGTATGACTGGAAAATTTGGGCAATTTGGATAACATCAGTTTGGATATTAAGTATATACCTTAATATGTAGTGGAATATTTTATATATTAAAATTTTTTGCATTTTCAAATGCACAACTTACTGGCATTAAGTAAATTTGCAACGTTGTGCATCTATCAACACTATTTCCAAAATTTTTTGGATACCCAAGCATAAATTGTATATTCATGAAGTATAGACTCGTTATTCACACATTACTCCAGCCCTTGGTAATAACATCTAAACTACATTCTGTCTTTATGTGTTTGCTAATTTTAGATATTTCTTTTAAGTGGAAACATGCACTATTTATCCTTCTGTGTCTGGCTTTTGATACTTAATATAATGTTTTCAAGGTTCATTCATCTCGTGGCATGTATCAGAATTTTATTGCTCCTTGTGGCTGAATAATATTCCATTGTTTGGACATGACACATTTAATTATCCATTTATCTGTTAATGAACATTTGCGTTGTTTCCACTTTCTGGCTATTGTGATTATATGTCATGTGAAGATGGATGTACAAGAATATGAGTCCCTACTTTCAGTATTTTTGGAGTATAGACCCAGGAATGGAATTGCTTGATCAGAAGACATATTTACATTAAACTTTTGAGGATGTGCTATGCTGTTTTTCACATTGTAGCATTTTACTTTCCCATAAGAAATATACAAAAGTTCCAATTGACAGATCTCAGAGGCTCACAGGTCAAATGACTGAATGTGAGCACATGAGGGCATGTGGGGGGAATAGAATCAGCCAGAGTCCTTGTCACAGTAGACTTGACACAGAATCGATTCCCTGCACAGGAATCTTTTCTCTCAGCCACTATTACATTATGTCCAGAGGCAGTGTCCGCCTCCACCTTGAGGTGGCACAGAACCCTGCTATCAAGAGACCTCAGTGTCTCAGGCTTAAGTCTCTCTACACTTTTTGCAGTGACCAATCAAAAAATCCTGATCTCAACCAACAGCCCAAAGCCACTTGCTGCCTCTAACTTTCCAGGCATTGGTGACCTTCCAGGATATGACTGTGACTTTCACCTGGGAAGAGTGTGGACATCTGGATCTGGCCTAGAGTACCCGGTACTAGAACGTGATGCTGGGAAATTGTAGGCTCCTTCTCTCGTTGGGTAAGGCTGCACCTCTGTCTCATCTCTTTCTTCTCTGTCCTATCCCTACGTGGAGTCTTTTTCTCTTGTTCCTGACTCAACGTTTTGAAACTCACAAAGCTGACTCTAACCTTACAGGCTCCAGGCACTTGAAGAGAAAACGATAAAGTTCATTTGGTGCCCGCTAAGAGTGAATATATTTTGTGTCTGAATGACTCTGTTCAATGATACATCTCTTTGGATTTGCCGTCTTCGGGAGCGCCTGAAATAATACTTTTAGACTCTAGGTGACACGCTAGGCTTCAGAGTCTGAAATAATGTCTCTAAACACTTAGGTGATCGGTTGCAGACAACGCTCCCTTAATAAAGTGTTGAGTACGGCATCTAAGGAAAGGGCAAATCCCCTCCCCCGCCCTTGGAGGTTAGACACACTTCCCTCAGGGTGCCACTTTTCCCTGGAGGTTCAGGTGAGGGCGCTCGTTCCCTGGGACTTTGCAGCTGTGAGAACTACATTACCCGGAATACTCTGCTTCAGGCGCCGCTGGCGTTGAGCCTATGAAGGCTCAGGAGAGGGTCAATTCTGTGCGTGCGCATCGCATTGGGGCGGGACTTCCGGCGTCCTCCGCTTGGCGGTAGGTTTGGCTGGTCTTGGGTTTGTGCTCAGATCACAGGCTGTGGAGCGGCGGCTCGGGGCGGAGGCTACGCGACTGGGAAGGCGCCGGAGGAGTTGTCCCCGCTGCTCAGAGGCGGGTCTGAGGCACTGGGTTGCGGTGACTCTGCTGCCAGGTCTCCGTTCCGATCGCCCGCCGCTCCCGCCCCGCCCACAGTGTCGATGGCGGTGGCCGCTCTGAGGGACCCGGCTCCTGTGAGTGCACTTCCTGGGCCTCACCGCCCTCAGTCCCTCTAACTCTAAAGCCCCACGTGCAGCCCAGGCCCCGGCGTCCGGGACCGTGAGGCGCTGGTGGACGACATCCGGGATGACAGAATGAGAGAGGGTCACAGGCGGAGCGGCAGGCCGTGTGAAGACGTCGGGGTACGATCGAGTCGGGAGTATTCTGGAACCCTGAAGTCCGCCGGTGTGTTCAGGGAACAGGGAACATGAAGCAGAGCGTTCCTGGGTGACCGGCTGCTATTTATAGGACGCTGTGATCCATAGAAAGTTGTGAATAGAAAAGACCACGCCTGAGTTAGGCTTTTAAACGTTTTCCAAAAGCTGTTCAGAGGAACAGACCAGAAGGGGAACGATTACAGGAGGCAGAGGGGATTTAGGCTTTGTCGGAGGTGACCCATCTGATAGGAGTCAGCCCTGAGGACTTAAGACCCAGAGATAACACAGTCAATCCGGGGTCACCCGGCTCCAGAACTGAGCAGGAGGATAAGGACGCCTGGGTTCAACCAGTTGAATCCTGCCATGGTCACCTGTCTCTCGGAACCTCCCTCTTCACACAGGCTGTTACAAGTACAAAAGCACTTAAGAACTCTACAAAGATGAGGGGAGGGTGTTCTAGAACCTCACTGGGCCTGATCCCGCTCATGATCCCTGGGATTGTGGTGTCCTAGGACTCATCACCTATCACTCTTGCAGCCCTTGGGCCTGGGGACCCTGAACAAATCCTAAGCCCAGAGTCCTCAGACCAGGTTGGAGGTTATATGGAGTGGTTCCCATCGCTAGCAACCAGTCGGGTGAGGTCTGAAGACAGGTTGCCCCAGGTATAGGTACCAGTATGTTTAGACTCTTGATGGTGTGATGGAACTGTTTTAAGGGAACCTCAAGGCTTCTTTCTTTGCCATAGGAACAGAGAGCAAGGGGACAGGAGTCAGACCTGGGATGGCTCCCAGAGAAGCTGGCTGGGTGTCTGTTCTAGAGATGACGGGAACAGTGGCAGGTTTTGGAGCAGAGGAGGGAGGTGATCTGATCAAGTCGTCATAAGGCTCTCTGTGGCTGCAGCATGGAGAAGAGACCAAGGGGGTATGAAGGTGGTAGGAAGACCAAGGAAGAGGCTACTGCCATAGTCCAGGTGAGTGTTGGTGATGAGGACCAGTGCGGTGGCCTTGGAGGTAGTAGAAGTATTTGGATTCTGGATCTGTTTTTTCAGTAGATCTCTGATTTTCTGATTTTGAAGGGGAGAAAGAAAAGGGTGGAAGTTGGGGATTACTGCAAAGTTTTTGGGTTTAGCAGTTCAAAGGATGAAAATTCCATCAATCAGGATGTGGAAATTGGTAGTAGGATTCATTTCATTCAGGATATTAGGAGTTTTGTTGTGGTTATGTTGCGTTGGAGTAGAAGTATTAAGTGAGCAGCTGGACCATAGGTCTGGGACTCTGGGGAGGGGTGGACATCTGCAAAAGGTGGTGGATAGTATGTGGACCAGGATAGATCTGTATGTCTTAGTCAGCTTAGGCGGCTAAAACAAAATACCTTTATTTCTCACAGTTCTGGAGACTGGGAAGTCCAGATCAAACAGCTGGCAGATTCCATTCCTGGCGAGGAACTCTTCCTGTCTTGCAGATAGCTGTGTCCTCACATGGCCTTGGTACAAGTGAGTGGAGAGACCAAGAGACTTTTATCTTTCTCTTAAGTGTGCCAATCCCATCACATGGGTCCCACCCTCATGACCGACTCTAAAACTGATTAATTCCCCCAAATATCCATCTTTAAATACCATCACATCAGGAGTTAGGTCTTAACGTATGCATTCGGGGAGGACATGTACATTCAGTCTGTAACACTGTGGGTCACATTTAGTAGGGTAATCCTCGTCATAGTGACATTAATAGCAGTCCAAGAAGAGTAGGGTGGAGTCTGCGGGCTGGGTCTCATGCTTGGGCACCTAGATGGGGGTTGGGGAGGTTATAGATATCACAAACACCAGTGAAGGAGAGAAGTGGTCGTGGGAACAGTGTGGGAGAGGATGATCTGTCAGGTGTCAAGGCTGTTGATTCACTGCTCTGTGGACTCGCCAGGATTTTGTCATGATCTTGGTGTGTCTGAGGCGTTTCAGTCAGGTGGGTGGATTAGTTTAGGGCGCAAGCAGTCAAGAGGGAGAGTTACTGGATCTGGGGTGGAAAGTGTCTGGGATTGGGTTTTGAGTGAGGATTAGAAAGAGAGGAAGGCTGTGACTGGAGAGGACATCAAGTGCAGCCCCAGCGGAAGAGGGTCCAGGGTATAGGAGATCTAGAAATGGTTCTGGGTGGGTGAGGTTGAAGCAAGGAGCAGAGTCAGTCAGGAAGACCTGTAGAACATGGGCTGCCAATGGTAGTGGGGACTATTGAGGTCTGGGATAGTACTGGATCCTGTTTGAATTTGCCAAGCACTCTCTATATGCTGTATGTTGAATAACAAGGACAGGGAGATGCGTATGGCGCAGGGCAGGGAAGAGGTGGTGACTTTGAGAGAGAGATGTGGTAGAAAGTAATGCCCACGTGGAGAGGGAGTGAGAACTGATGGCCTGAGGGCCCCAGCATTGAGGACATAAGGGTGAAATATGAGCCAACACCCTTGGTTGTGTCTGGGAGGCATGATCTGAGTGACTGGGAGAATTGCCTGACAAGAGGAAGTGCTTCCCTGTGTGCAGGCCCAGAGCTCTGGTATCATCTGTTTGCCCACCTGCCTTTTATTGCTGTGGATGGATCAACACAGTGAAAGATCACTGTGATGAGATGAAAACAGAGTGCACGTCAGTGGCACCAGGACCTAATATCTCCCTGAGGTGGGGAAATTGGGAGATGGGTGGGCAGGGGGTGAGTAAGTGGGTGGATGAACTTGGAGTTCTAGGAGAGAAGCTGGTCCTACAGTGAACTGTCCTCATCCTGGCAGGGCTGTGTGACGTTTGAAGATGTGGCCATTTATTTCTCCCGGGAGGAGTGGGGGCTCCTCGATGAGGCTCAGAGGTTCCTGTACCGTGATGTGATGCTGGAGAACTTTGCA